GGCGCCGGCGCCCGGGCGGGCGCCGGCCGACGCGCAGGGGGGGGGGGGGGGGGGCGGGGGGAAGGAGGCGGTTCGCAGGCGCCGAGGGCCAAGCGGCGGAGGGGCCGAGCTGCGCCTGCGCAGGCGCCAGACAATAGCCAGCGCCGCGCCGGGCCCACACTGCGCATGCGCCAGCGGGAGGAAAACAGGGCTTCCCGCTCCTTGCCCCGCCCTCGGCCGGGACGGGACCTGCGCTATCCTCGGCCGCCGCCGGCCCAGGGACGTCGGCGGAAGATCCGCTCTGCGCGCAGGCGCCAGTTGCATCCCGCAATCCCCAACAAAGGGGGAAGCCCCTCCTGCCGCCGCCAGCCGCAGGAGGTGGGCGGCCAGCGAGGACTACACCTCCCAGGGCTCACCGCGCGGCGCGCTGTTTGCTGGGACCTGTAGTTTTTTTTCTGGTGGGGGCGTGGCCGGTCCCGAACTGCGGCGGCGGGAGGCCGGTGGCCGTGGCGGGTAGCAACGGCCGACGCTGTGGTTCCTGTGGGAGCCGGCGGCACTTGCGGAGCGCGAGAAGGCAGAGTCGGGTCCGGACCGCTGTTACCCACCGGCTCCTTCCCTGGGAGCCGGCGGCGTCCCCATGCGGGCGCCCCGCGGGGAGCCCGCCCTGGAAGAGTCCCTGGAGCGGTACCAGAGGCGGCTCCGAGGTGAGCGGGCGCCGCCGCGGCGGGGAGGGAGCCGGCTGCTTTTCCTCCCGCCGGCCGCTCTCCCCTCAGCCGCCGCCCACCTCCGCGGGAGGGCTCCGCCGCACCCAGCTGCCCCCTGTCCCGCCGAGCGCCCGCGGGCGGGGAGCGCTGGGGCTCCCGCGGCTGTCGGGGCGGTGCGGAGCCGGCGGGCGCGGGGAACGGGCCCTCCCGCCGCTCTCCGGGCGGCCCGGCTGAGGGAGGCGGCGGGAGTGAAGTTGCTCCTGGTCCTCCTTCAGCCCGCTGGCTGGTGCGGTTAATGCTGTCACAGGTAGTTGTCCGGCCATAACTTGGCTTTGACAGGGCCTCTGCCTCTTGTAGTGTTTTGGGGGGTTTGGTTTGGTTTGGTTTGTTGGTGTAAGAGTTGTTAGCTGTAAACTTCAAATTCTAGACACAAGAGGGTGCAAACTGATTCTTAGGAGTGTGATTAGTTTCTGTGCCGTAGGTTGTTTTCACACCTCTCTTCTTATCCTAGAAGCATTGCTTATAGCCTCACAGAGAGCACCTCAGTCACTCAGCTCTGACACCTGGACTTTACCAGCCTTCAGGCTGTCTCTTGACTAGTCAAAGTAAGTGTCCAGATTCTGAAGAAAGCTAGTAAATAATTTGTGAGTACGTCACCCTGCTTGATGCAAAAAGTTGGGTTCTGGATGCAGTGCCCGTGCATTGCATATTGTGGCAATATTGTGTTAAATGTACAGTTGCCATGCAGGAACCGGCACTGCAAATAGATAAAACCATGGAAATATTTTTGATTAGCTACTTGGTACATGATTTTTAGTAAGTATTTTGTATTTCCGTCTCAAAAGAGCATCAGTTTTTTGCATTGAGGATGGAATTTATTTGTTCCAGAAGACAGAGCTTTGAAGAATCATCTCTATTTAGTTCTTCTGTAGGTTAAGTGGGCATGTAGATGCTGCTTGGCACTTGCAGTAGAACAGTTAAAATGACAAATAACAGAGCATTTCTTGATATGTATAGAGTTCCTTTTGTGATACGTAAAAACCTATAAATTACAATGCATAGATATGGGTAATCTTAGTACAGTATCACGTTTCCTTTTTCTGTGGATGAATATGGAAAACCATGAGATGATTTTCCTGTACTGGATTTGGACTTTCACGGAGGCAAAGGGTTTCTGCTGTGACTTTTATTGGCAAAGGAGGAGCGATAAATTAGGATTTTAAAACCGTAGTTGAACACATATGATTTTGGTGCTTAATATATCTTCTAATGGCAGAATGTTTCTGCTTCAGGACAGTATTTTCACTCACAGAGATGCAGCTTTGTTTGGAAAGGCCACAGTTCAAGGTTTTTTGTTAATTTCAGCTGCACTAATATAGACATAAGTACAAACTCAACCAATGTGTTTGAAATTGACCTAGGGTACATTTCCAGGCTTGTTTGCTTGGTTTTATGCAAATCTGGGAAGTGGCTACACTGTTACTCAAATGTTTTATAAATTGATGTTCTCCTCCTGTCATAGCTCAGTGGTTGACCTGCCGTTTCATTTTAGGCAATGAAGGCCAGTGAATGCTGGCATTTTGGATTATTGGTCAGCCCAAAAGGCGGCATACGGGCAGTGGAGAAGGCAGATTTCTTCTGTTCATCCTTATCTAAGCAGATGTGTTGGTGTCTTTAAATTCTGGAGTGCGCAGGCAGCATGCTCTGTTCAACATCCATCATGCTGGGGTATCCAACCATCGTTGGATACAATGGTGATTTTGAGCTGTCTGGACTGCAGAATGCAACGTTCTCAGCTTCCTTAGGTGGTAACAGCAGGTCAATCCAAAAACCTTTGGTCTCCAGCCCTACCATGTATTCCCATAATTTCCTTAATGTAAATATTCTTGTGTGGGTGTAGTTTGGTAAGGACTTTATAGTTCGTTTCTTGATTCAGCCCAGGCTTGTCATGAAAATGTGCTTTTGTAGCATTGTGCAACAGAGCTCCAATCTTTCTGATTTTTGTCTTAGTGCATTTTAAATGTTCCAACGGAATTTCCCTTTCAATTCAAAAATCTGTTGGAGTGCTTGGGGGCTGCCGTATACATGATATCTTAGTTGTGATGAGCTTTTAGGCTTTTGATTCATGGAGTTTTGAAGCATGCCTTTGTACCAAGTTATCTGGACATTGTAAGTGACCTCTTAAACACTCTCATATCTTCAAAAGGCCTTTCTTAAGAATTTTGCATCTTCAACTGTTTAACTGTATAAAACAGCACACACAATACAGAGCTCATCATATCAAATTATTGGATACATGTATTCTGTTCATAAACTTATTTTCATTTTGTCTATTTCGGACTGGATCCCCTTACACTGGATCCATTATGTTTTTTAAAATAATTTCAGAACATGACATTCTGGTGGCTGTTTACATTTTTCTTTCTGGGAAACATGGATTTTTTTCCATACAATGCCAAGATAAGTTTGATTTCATATGTTCAGGGGCGCCTCTCAATGAGTAGATATCAATAGGGTATTATCACAAACATAACCCTAGTGCAAGGTGATGTAATGTAAGTTCTATTCTGTTTCTCAATGAACTGCTTTATTTCTCGGTGATGTACAATTTTTAACTTCTTTGACCTGCACAGCATTTCTCACATCATAACCACTACTGTTAGGAAGTTACTGCAGGATAAATAGATCATTGTTACTCCCTAAGTTGTCAAACCTAATTCTTTACCTGTTTTTCTCATATAGTTATACAGTTTGAGCTTTTTCTCCAAATTCAGGTCATTCCTGTCATCTAGATTCTGGAATTTCAGGTGTCATGCCTTGGGTGTTATTTGATGATGGCTTTGAAATACAGCGTTCTTAACTGCCTGTAATGTTTAACATTATCTGGACACAGGCTGGTTTGTGGCAACAGGCTATCTCCATGCTGGAGATCAGAAGAATCATTTTACAGCCTTATTCGGTTTGATGAAAGGGTGTGTAAGTTCTCAAAGAGCAATCAATTACTGCAGTGTAGCATCCTCTGTTGTAAAGGGAAATCCCACAGAAGAGTGGCACATGGGGAGCCCGGGTGTTCAGTAAACTGAGTCTAGTGGCCAGAGGACAGAAAGCCAGGCCAAGAAAACTGACTAAGACGTAACTGGTCTTAGAGCCCAACAGAAAGGTTCTGATGAAATAACAAAGGTCCAATAACTGGGCTTTTCCTGAATAGTGTAGACCTTGTATAATAGAAGTCTTTAATGTTGTATGGAATACAGAGTTAAGAGGGTGGTATTTGTACAATTGGGGTTACTAGGTTACTGTGTAAACTTTCCCACAATTGAGACCATTTCAAATTAATCTCAGAGTCTTTAGGAGATAATAACATTTCTAATAAACAGTTATTCTCAAGGGAATAGAAGTATTTTGTAAAGGATGTATTCACGTGAAAAACTGAAAATTGGCAGGTGTAGTGTGAATGTCCACCGGGCCTTCTATTACACCAAGTAGTAGAGAAGTGTGGTGGCTTCTTGCTACTTTCCCATTTTCTCCCAACAGTAGTGAATATAGGGAGAAAACTATTTAGACCCCACTGCTTTGTTTCTAGCATTCACCTGGTTCCTTGGACAGCGAATTGTTATTTTTTTATGTTGAGTTTTTCTGCCTGTTTAGTAAACAACACTGGCTCTCTTCTGGGGAGGAGCAAGGGAGGAGGAGACCATCATTTTTTAGGTACAGTGCCTGATACAGGCATCTTGTAAATCTACCCTAAGAAAATGGGGAAATGATGTTCTGTATTCAACTGCATTACCAAGTCAATGTCCTATGTAATTTCAGAGAATGAAGATGCAAGCTATAAGAGGAACAGGTAAAAATATGAGACTTCTACAAATAAAGTTTCATTTTGTAGCTGCTTTATGTGACTTCAAAAATAAAGTAGGGGAGATCTGAAGTCAAAGCCATCCTCAGAAACATGAGTACGTGGCCCAGTTACCAGCTCTCCAAATTTGCTGTGACACTGTCGAATTAAATTGTAAATGGTAATCTATAATTGTAAATTTTTGGCTTAGGCTTTTTGTCTTTATTTGGCAGTTGTTTTACAATGTTCTGCTGAACAGAGCACATAACATTTGTTTTAGGGTGGAGAATCTGTCATAAGAGACTGGGAAATGCTTGGAGTTTCTCACATGTGAGTGTCTTTGAACCTTGGGCATGTGCTTTATGCTCTGCAGAAAGATTTAGGAGCTCATGAGGATGAATGCTGCAGCTCCAGAGAACAGTTTCATATTGAAGATAATAATTTGTTAAAAGCTGTGTTGAAAAGCACTTATTTCTCATAGAATGCAGAGCAACTATGAAGACCAAGAAAGCAGATCACGTGGATCCATGATTCATTATTTTGAAACATTGGAGTGTTAAATACACAGAATCATAGAATGGTTTGTGTTGGAGGGGACCTTGCATTGGAGGTGACCTTGCCATGGGCAGGGACACCTCCCACTAGACCAGGTTGCTCAAAGCCCCATCTAGCCTGGTCTTGAACACTCCCAGGGATGGGACATCTACAGCTTCCCTGGGCAACCTATTCCAGTGCCTCACCACTCTCACAATAAAGAATGTCTTCCTAATATTTAATCTAAATCTACCCTCTTTCAGCTTAAAACCATTACCCCTCATCCTATTGCTACACTCCCTTTTAATCTCTCCTGTAGGCCATCTCGGGCAGCTGCTCTAAGGTCTCCCTGGAGCCTTCTCTTCTCCAGGTTGAAGAACCCCAAGTCTTTCAGCCTGTCCTCATAGGAGAGGTGCTGCAGTCCTCTGATCATCTTCAAGTACTTACTCCAGACCATGTCCTTCTTATGTTGGGGGGCCCCAAAGCTGCATGCAGTACTCCAGGTGGGGTCTTACAAGAGTGGAGTAGAAGAGCAGAATCACTGCTGGTCAGTATGCAGCCAAGGATGTGGTTGGCTTTCTTGGCTGTGAGTGGACATTGCCGACTCATGTTGAGCTTCTCATGAACCAGC